TTGTCAGAAGAGGACAAAGATATCGCTTGAGAAGTAGTTGAAAGCTAATGGGCAATCGTGAAGCTAGATGAAGAGGGACGCCAAGAAAAGAACAAACTGACAATGTGCTGAAGAAGCTTCCGATGCATATACAACTAAGGTATATACAGTTCTGCTGCAAAAAATACCAAGAAGTAGAAAGGAAAATAAACAGCATATACTAATATCTCCGTGTTGGGTAGTGGAAGCTATGATGTGATTATGCATGGTGACAGTAAAGCTTTAGTCATACAAGAAGTTATGAAATGATATTTCTGAATGTTTATCGCCAAGAAGATCAGTTAATTTGGTTGAAACAACACTTAAGAATCATAAAATAACATTTCAGGGTTGTTGTTTTGTTTTTTATTGTCAGGTCTAATGCAGTGTTTGTAGTGGTAGGGTGAGTAATCCTGCATAATACAAAATTTTTAAGATGGTGACAATGGCGTTCACATCCAATGACAGTCAGTTTATATTGCCGAAAAAACAACAAAAATTAAGAAAAAAAACAACTACAAAATCTAATAATTACATGATGGTTAATGACAGAACAATTTTGTAATACTCATGGTGCTAATAGAGTCAGAACCAGTGGATACACAATAGAAGGAATATAGTAAAGTACAAAAAAGTAAGCCAATGTTAATAATTTAGGTAGCTTAGTATGTTTGAGAAGGAGTTCACCATAGAATACAAAATAAGAGAGAAATAAAAGAGCCTAAAATTATGTTATTAATAACAAAGCAAGTCATAAGTTTCACGCCCAACATTGTTGAGTTACAATGATTAGAAACTGCTTTTTACAAGAAGTAAGGTAACACCAAGAAACTGACTGATATGAGATAGCATGTCACTATAACTAGAGGAAATGGCCTTCTCACTAACTGCTGCCCGGAACTGTGTCCGTAGACATAAAGATTAGTAACTTCGAGATCACTAGTATGAGTTTCACTGTGATTAAAACATACATTCAACTTAATGCACGACAAAAACCATTTTTAAGATGATTATTGTGTTTATAATCCTTTGGATAAGGCGATATCTTAACATTTATAAGTAGTTTGATTTTAGATCCTATATCTTAAGGAATTCAGAATTCCCTTGCGTTCCGAATGAAATAAAGGGCTTCACCAACACACTGCTATTTCATTCTGTCCTCTGCAGTCATTTTTCAGCTCACACAAACTTCATGTCACTCTCAAAAACACACTGCCATCTCATCATTTTCCATTTGGGCTCCACCCGACAACTTGAATGGTGTATTATGTCACTCAGCGGTCTCCTGAGACTATATTCACTGCATCTCCTTCTCCTTCTGCATATTCGTAAGAGGAAAGGTTGTTAGTTGGTACACTGCCGGATTTCCTGGTTGCATATCCTTTCTCTTCGGTCATCTGTTCTTCAGTACCTTAGCAGCAACCGCAGCTACTGAGAAATATCTGCAGTCTGTTGGAAATGATTTTCGTCTAGTTTGCCAGTTTACTAGCTGGCCCAAGTCCGGAAAAAAAAGAGGGAAGTTTTGGACGTAGGACTAGATACCCTACGCCGAAAAATCAATTTAACTACTACAGAAACTTCATAGAAATTATCAAATACCTATTTTTTTTTACTCTTTATGCTGCTAAATGAACTAAGACTTCAGTTCTCCCATCATTATAAACACTTGAACATCTATCAATGCCAAGTGGTAATCAAAACAAAGTCAACTCATTTCTGGAAATATACTTTTTGTTGTTGAGCTTGCTTCCTTAGCACCCCTTATCAACACGAAATAACGAATTCCTAACGAAAAATTGCATCAAATTGGAATAGGTTACCTACTGAATCGTTAGAAAACCATTGTTATTACAGTCAAATCAGATTAAAAGATTTCCCCGCGAATACCTAAACTGGTATTTATGGAGATAAATGTAACAATGTGGAAAAATATTTCGTCTGATATTCAAGATCAGGAAAAAGTGAAGCCACCAATTTTCAAATTGACTGGAATTACTGAACTCTCTACAGAAATGGTGCTATGTCTTAGATATGGACATTTCTTATTCACAGCCATGTTTAAATATACAAATACACAAACTACCAAGAGAATTAGCAAATCTCCAACACGCTCAAGTGGATATCATATTACATACATGATTATTAAAGTTCAATACAATCGATAAATGTGTCACTCAGGTGGGACAGAGTTTCCTCACTACAGTATCGAAACACATCGAATTTTGTTAGATAGAGTTCTAAGAAACCGGTCTGTGAGTCGTTGATTGTGCACTTGAAGGTATTACTTGCAGAAAACAATGTCTGAATAGTGTATACCCCTGATTTCAGTTATCTGTGCATATATGCATATGATGTGGTTGCATTCTCTGAGCTGGGTGATTTGATAGCGAAGGTTTCGTTGTCCTGCTAGACAACATCTTCAATGCAAACTTCAGTATGAAGTGAACTTATTTGAATCTTCCATGAATGATATAATTAAATCTTCTGACAATCATTGCCGTATCTGACTGTTGATTTGCATCCTCATTGGTTATTTCCACTAACTCGGGATTTGTTTTTTTTTGTCGTCTGACTTATTCTCCATTAGTTGATAAATTTATTCTGTGTTAATATTGTCTGTTGACTGTTGATGCAACTGAGTACCAGACCTGCAGGAATTACCTGGCATTTTTTAGCTGGTTCTACACTTTTTAAAATTTGTACATTTGCCTAGGCGAATTGGTGTCCATATTGCGTCGTGTCTTTTGACAGCTGGCTGATGTTCTTAGATTCAGAATTGAAGGGGATGCCCACTTTGATCAATATGGTGATTATCACAGTCCACTATAATCTCTTTTGTATACAGTGTTGATCTTGTCAATTTTGCTGTTGGGCCTTTTGTCTTCCACATTACTGAATGAAATAATTGTGTTGATTTTCGTGTTTTATCTATTCCGAATGATTTTAGACGTTATTTCAGAAATATATGTTCAAACCAAGTTCACTTTTAACAGTTTGAAAAAATTTCGGCATTGGGTAGATGATATTCATTATAATAAAGCTTTTCTTGTATTTCCCAGTGAATGAAAAACAAAACGATATTGTTGTGTCTACTGACGTTTCGCTATTTAATGCTAATAGCTTTATCAAAATATTATTAAACCGGAATTTACAAAATCTCAGCATATATACAACAAAGAGTTAAGAGGTGAGAAAATTAACTTAGGTCAAGTTAAAACGGGGACATATTGAAAGTGGAAATAACAATGAAGATCACTAAACTAAATAACAGAGGTAATAGTACGTCTGTTATGATATCAAAATAAAGTTTACTAACTTGATCATCGTTCGTCTGTCTGGGGGCCTTTTTTTCGTTGTCAAGTTGGCCAATTGGTAAAGATAACAAAACCAAGTGTAGATTGTTGAATCTGATAGGTGCGTAAAATTATAAAAGCAGCAAGTGTTTACATAATGAAATTGCCTATCACATTCGTGTAGAATTAGTCACTTCATGGGGAAGGGGTGCTGTAACCAGGTCATATTCTGTTTTAGTCCATCATTCCTATTCAGACAATTTGGATTCCATTTGATATGAAGTGCTTCTGATATTAGACGTTCTTTGTGATTTCTGACACAGACATTAAGTATGGCCGAAAACGCATTCCGAAAACATGGACCTCAACAGTTGTCAATATTGAAATAATCCAGAAAAACGTCAGAAATTTCTAAAAGATTTCTTTACATATGGCAGGATGAACTTTTTTGTGGCTCTGGGGATGGTTTCTTTCTGGTGATTTGATTCGAGTAAAGACGTCTGTTGTATAAAACTTTATTGGCATTGATTTTAATTGAAAATAATGAAAGCTCCCCAATTTATTTAGTTAGCTCAGAGGATACGACAATATCAAAATGACCCACTTGAGTGATAAATATTCTATCATATATTCTTTTTTCTTGTGATTTCAAGCTTTTATACCCCTTGGGCCCTTGGATACATTTTCAGGGGTAGGGTCTCTAGCCATACTTCCGAGCTTAGAACCATCTAGGAAACTAGCAGACTAGTAAACTAGATCACCAGAAAGAATTAGTAACAAGAAACTCTGGGAAAGAACTTATCAATAACCTATTGCTGAACAGATGTGTAGAATAAAATGAAAGTGAGTACGGTAAGATACAATCTGACAAGACCATCGAGTAACGTAGTGCACCGGACCATTGTTATAGTGGAACCTCAATGGAAGACGATGAGTTAGGTGTTGGTCAGAGGGTGACAAAGAGATCGCTTGAGAAGTAGGTGAAAGCTAATGGGCAGTCGTGAAGCCAGCTGAAGAGGGGCGCCGAGAAAAGGACGAACTGGCAATTTGCTGCAGAAGCTTTCGATGCATATACAACTAAGGTTTATACAGTTCTACTGGATTCTTTCGGTTTGATTCCAATGAACTCGGAACCCAAGGCAATAATATATCGTATATGCAATATATATATATATTGTATAGACCAAGCCTAGTTGACCTTTTAAGTCATACGTGATAAGACATATCAAATAGATGAAGTTTCCAGGTGAAGAATCACTCGTATTATTTCTATTCGATATTATTTAATTATTATCGTCTAAAATGGAAATCAACTCTAATAATATAATTATATCTCCTATATTCTCAATTTAAGGACGTACTATGGTCTGAGTAAATTAAGAAGATGAGAAACTGGGACAATATTATTATTATTAGTTATTTTTATTCTATCAACCTCAAAATTAACCAATCAGAAGTCAGTTGAATAAAACTCAACTGAATAATAATGTGATTTCATCACCAATAACAGGCAATCAGGGGAATAATAAATTTTATGGAGAATGTGGAAAAACTGACTGTATTGCATTACTTAACAATGACGCTGAGATGCAACTCTCATTATTGTCATCAATATTATCCTTCTATTTATTATCTTTCCGATTAACATTGAAATGGTATAGTACTCACTGGACTGTAAACAGGAGTATAATGCTACGAATACAATTGACGAGATTATGTGTAACAGATTCACTAAAGAAAGATTTCTCATCATTGCCATTATCACTATTATTGTCCAGATTATTGTTGTATATAACGTGGATTATAAGTCCAATGGATTGTGAACATATGACTGGTGTAAAGAAATTACGATTGCAAAGTCTAGACATCGGTAAGTAACTCTGATGCGCCGATTAAATATACCTAGTGTTTCCCTATTGTAAACTTTTTAATCAGTAAGCAAGGTTCAATGGGAATGTGGTAGGTTCTATCACAAGGAACACCTGATGGCTGGTTTTCATAGTTATAAACTCCTCAACAGTATTGCCTATGGTCTCACAGAAGATAGAGCACAAAATTTAGACACAATAGGCCGCAAGTTCTGACCTAGTGTCCGAATGATACGCTGAGCTCCTAATGCAAACACCACTCATATGACGTACATTACTATAGAGTCTCAAAGTAGGGTAAGACATTCCGTAATGGGAATTTCGCTGGGAATCTGATATATACACCTTAGATTAAAATCGTTATTTGCAGATATCTTCTGTGTTTTGCCAATCCTGCCCTTCGTATTGTGCATCTTTGTCTTCTATTTTTGTCTCTTATTCTTTTGCCACAGCACTGCTTCATTTCCTGTCTTTGATGTTAAATCTATTTCTCTGCTATTTGATATTTTGTGCCGATGAGCGTCTCTTTTCTAAACGGCTTGCAAATTTTGTCATTAGCAAATGCTACACTCGTCTCCCTGTCAAATAAATTCGAACGGAGCCGCTCCAACCTACTTGGTTCTACCCGGTCTTGTTGTGCTTACCTCTTGACTTCTTTATCCCACTGTATCCATTTTTGAAGCTAGCTAACCCGTTTCTGTCTGTTTCCTCTTTCGATGGTTTCAGCGGGACCACGATTTCGTCATATAAGTGACCATGCACAGCATGTAGAAGAAGTTTCAAGGCTAATGTATGGGTTTTGATATCACATTAACAAAACAGAATCTCAAATAACCCAGCGCATTGTTACTCTGCTGGGTCATAAAGTGGGCAACGGTGGGGTAAAACCGCTACTGGAGAAAACCTTGACAATACAGACCGTTAAGCCACTTCTTAGGGATTGCAACGTTTTATAGTCAATTTGTGTTAAAATTTCACCAAGACAGTAGATCTAAGATTGTTTGATAAGAAGATACTCCGAATATATTCAATCGCTTTAAACCGCTTCTAGACCACCAACAAATGACGTTAAAACTACCTGTACCCGGAAAACAGTTCAAAGTATGCACAGATGTGAGTGACTACGGCATAGGTGCATTATTAAGATAGTGTGAAGGAGTTTTCAAATATGTCAGTCGTGTTTTAACGTACGCCACAATTGCTCAAACGCTTTTCGTATCTCAATCATTCATTACATGACAATTGTTTCCACCTATACCTGCTTTATTATTAACCAATTTGCTGAAAACATCATAATTACGTTAACCTAATCGTTGCCGGAACAGTCACTTTCCAACATATGATAAAAATATTCAGCTTATGATTTTTGAACTAACAATACCATAGTGGAAGAGATAAAAATGCTCACTGAAATATTACTTAATGACAATTATCTATTACAATTCTTTGAATATGATAAATATACCCCGTGAAGTAAGCCGATTGCAAAAAAGAATTGTGTATCTTTTCACCACTCACAGATAATTTACAGACAAAGACATTAAATTAGTCACGCATATGACAGAGCATTAACTAAAGTGATCGCGATAGCAAGGTGAATCAACCGATCTTGTGCCCAAAGGAATGATTACCAATCCACATCTTTTGGGAGAAATAATATCAAGCGCGATAGGTGAATCAGTCTGGTATTAAAACAGGCCTTTCATACCAATACAAGGGGAGTATTCGTAGTTCTTAATTAGTCTTTTTAAACTATTGGTACCGAAAACGTTTTAAAAAAAAACTAATTCAATGTGCGAAAATGATCTTTTTCTTGTCACATTGAATAACTACTGGTAATGAATTCTCAGTAAAGCGGATAAAATGTAAAACTGTTTTCCTAGTTAGATCCATTGTGCAGTTCACCGTAGTACATTTAATCAATTCTGATCACCAAGTGTACACACTGAACAACTTTAATACTGACTACAAAGTGTGCGGGAAAAGCTGAAAAAAATAAAAGAATTCAGCGTTTTTATTAATAAAGTAAAATGATAAATATAAATCAATTTTAGATTTTCCCGTCGACTGACTGAACCAAAGTGTTCGGTCTCAAGTTGACATGTCGGCCCCTTGTGCAGATGCTTCAGTGATGTCTGCGTATGTAACTAGAAGTTAATTGGTGGATGTTGACTAGCAGTGGAATCCAGAGAGAATGCGCATTTCATCCTGGTTTTGCGATTTGTCAGCCACTGGATGTACCTGCATTCCCCAGTAAGAGTGGTGGAGGCACCAACTAGGCTCGAACCCAGTGACCATAATTATCCACCTGAAACTAAGTACTTCAATTCAATCAATCGACGGGAAAATCTAAAATTGAATTAAATAATTAATAGGACTTGTTGAACAAAAGGTAGCTCTCATGACCCAGGTGGTCTAGTGGATAACGCTTCAGCGTTTACAACTGTGGACACTGGTTTCGAGCTGCGGTGGGACCACCATCACTCCCTGGGGAATGCAGTTACATCCAGTGGCTGAAGAGTCGCAAATGGGACGAAATCCGCATTCTTTCTGGATTCCACTGGTAGTCAACATCCACCAGTTGACTTTTAAAATGATAAATCTCATCGTAAAGTATGAACCCTGCATACGAAAAATATTTTTCATTGGTAGTTTATACTACTAAATTATTTGAGTAGCTGGAAATCACCCAAGTCGAACGCTCGAGCTTAGTAACCAAATGGAAGTGATCGGAACATCAGACATCTGTTTAGCCAATTTAGGGCCAGGCTTAACAACAGTGCACTCTATAATAGCTCAGCTTGGGCATTTGAACTAGTCCAAACCACCCGAATTCTAATCACTGGCATTAAACAGCGTACTTTAATGCTTGCTTAATCCCATTTATGATATAAAACAGGCGATATATTATTATATGAATTTTCACGACAAACTGTACCATTTGCAAACGGCAAAGTTAGTTACATCCACGAAAATATTCATGCACACATTGAGCGTCTATTCAGCAAAAATGCATTCATTTACAGCTGTACAAGCGCAATCTGATACATGGTTATTTTGTATGCAATGCAAAGTAAAAGGAAGCTTAACGTTTTTGGGGCTGATGCATATTTTCACTTTATAGATAACTATGACTATTATGGTTGGGATTTTATTTTGATAAATTGTCACACAGTGTTATGCAGTAATATTAACTGATGACGTTTCGAACACAATTTATAATTGCTGCTCATAATCATATCAAGGCACCACTCACACAACTTTCTTGCTTCATTTATACACATGTGTGGAATTGCCTAGATATTGGAATAAAATCAATATGAGATAAAGTACATTCAGAAATATCATTGTTGTTATCAGTAAAATACAATCAGATGGGAAATAAGATGTTTTTTACAGCAAAAATAAGTAACTTGTTAGAATGTTATAATGTGAATTGAATACATTTTAGCATTATTTATTATTCTCTGATTTGACTGGTGGTAATAATATCTTCCATATCTCTGGTATTTGCGTGGAGTTATTTCTGTTGCGTAAGGAATACCAAAAAAAGCCAAAAACAAAATAAAAATAATGGTGAAACTAATAATTATAACATAAGTAAGAAAGAATATAAGCTATCTACAATTTTTCCGTATAAGGAGGGAACATTTGAGACCTTAAGTATGATTTCCAATAAAGCAGGAATTAAGTTGACATTCAAACCTACAAAGTCACTCAGGTAGGAAAAGCTTTGTATGCTAAAAGACCCAGTGGACCCAGTTACGCAAAATAATATAATTTACAAAATACTTTGCAATGAGTATGAGTTAAGTCAAACTAGTAGATCAGGAGAAACGAGATTATCGGAACATAAGAATGACTGATCCCACAAAGTAATTTATAAAAAAGCATAGCTATAGCACTGCATACATTAACACTCAGCCACACAATAGGGTGGGTGGGGCAGAGTTAAAATTCTAAAAGGTAATGTAGGTAGGTGGAGAGAAAGAGACTGATTACTGAATACCGGTTCATCGAATAATCTACACCCAACATATGCAATAGAAGTGACTCAACGCAAATACCAGAGATATGGAAGATATTATTACCACCAGTCAAATCACAGGAGGATAATAATTCATCTTAAAATTCTATTTCAATTCACATACACTGTAACATTCTAACAAGTTACTTATTTTTGCTGTAAAATATATCGTATTTCCCATCTGATTGCATTTTATTGATAACACTCATATTATTATTTCTGAATGTACTTTATCTTATATTGATTTTTTTCAAATGTCCAATCGTCAATTTTTACTCATTTATATAAGCGAAGCAAGAAAGTTGTGTGAGTCGTGCTTTGATATGATTATGAGCAGCAATAGTTTGCGCTCAAAACGTCATCAGTTAATAGCAGCAATAAACTGTGCTCGAAGCGTAGTCATCAGTTAACATTACTGTATAACACTGTGTGTGACAATTTATCAAAATAAAATCTTATCTATAATGGAGTTATACTCACTCTACCACAGTACCCAAGTTTTATACTTATATCCACTTTGACTTTTGTTTTGTTCTGTACTGCATATTTCTACTCAGCAAAACATTGTAAGCGCTTTATGCTTAGAAATTCTCCCTTCAACTCTGCTAATATCATCTCTTACCTATGTTTACATTAGTTTCTTTCTATCTTACTGTTGAAATATATTTCGTTACTGGACTTTATTCACTTTTATTTTTAACTGTTATAAATCATTCCATTGAGTTAGTTTATCTTGATCAAGTTGATCGTAAGTCTTATTGTTATTTCTAAACAATATACAGGTATGCATGGAGTGTCTGATGCTGTTTTAATCTTTGAAGTCTTCTGTTGGTCTATATCTATCTGACTTTTGTCTTGTTCACTCGGATATGCATACTGCTTGTTTTATCTAAATTTATTTCCATCTTTTTTTTCTGAACAAACAAAAGAAAAATGAAAGAGAAGAAATTGGATCAGTTGGACTGATGTTGTTTC